TCTTGTCATCAGGTGTTAGCTTGTCCATTGGGGTAGGTACCTATACATCATTTACTGTTGCAATAGGTACAAAAAAATCGTTAGTGGTTACAATCCATAAGTCAAAATCTATGGATTGAATGAAGTTCTCTATACATTTATCGATAACCATAGTTATCTCCATTGAAGAATGATGGCTTGAGCTTTGGGAGTTCATTGAATCCATTTGTTTCGTGAAAAGTTTTCAAAAATGGTTTTGAAAATAAGTTTAAAATCCTGCTCCGATACCAATTGATATTCAGTAACACCAATTGATAAGTTTTCAAAAGATTATTTTGAGAGTTATAAATATTTTGTTGAGTGAAAAAGATACTGTCATCCATAGAGCTTTCATTTTAAACACTACTTGCTCAAATTGTGTGAGCTTTCATTCTAGTATTTGGAATGAACTAGATTTTTAAAATTATATTTAGTGAATATTTTATGATAATAGCTGGTAGTCCTTCTCGATTATTGTAGAATGCATTATAGTTGTTTAAAGAAGCATTTTCAATTATTTTGTTGTGGCACAAGGCTTACAAAAGATGTAAAATTACATTGATTGGTATGAAGCATGCATAAGCTTAGATATTTATACACTCAGTTATACCCATAAAATACATTAGGGTTGAAATACTATGCTTAATGAAGACAATCATACATCTTCGTTTGTGTATATGTGTACATTGATTATGACACATTTAATCTGATGACAACGCTTCAATGATACCATGCACAATGAATACTTTAAAGAATAAGAAGTGCTTGAAAGATAGTCATGTAGAGTCTATACGTATAAGCATCGCAAGAAAATGTAGAATGCATTCATTAGTACGATGCATCGGTATAGTAAAAACGACGCGTTTTCAAAACAATTCAAGAGACTTTGATGCATATGTTTATATGCTTCAACCAGAATGCATAGAAAAAGTCTGGCATGACATTGAGTTGCAGCAGTCATGCATATACATAAAATGGATAATATTAGTAAAACCCATAAAGTATATTATGGTAATAATACTACGCATAATTAAGTGAACAGAATACCAATATTCGTCTCTACGTGTAATTTCATTATGACACCTAAACTGACCACAACGTTTGAATATTGTAATGGTGTAATCATAATAAAAAATATTGAACATGTAACTAAAGAGGATGTTTGCCAACAATAATGTTTCATGAGCGATGTAAAAAATTAAATATAATTCAAAAATAAAATCTATGATGAGGTTCAATCACTCAGATTTATTCATGGGGCAATTCCTACTTTCATGGTATCCAATCTCATGAAACCTTCTGCACATTCACTTATTCTTCTTTCCTTGCTCAATGCTAATCTCCATCACGCTTTAATTTTGATTCTCTTCTAACCCCTTGTTGTGTACTGGTTGGGGGTGGGGGTGGGGGATTATGGTAATGTTTGAAAGGGCAGATACGCCATAGAACGACTCAAAAATGTGGTCTTGGGTTGGAATTACACCGAACTTAATTGCAGATTCAAGGATGTTCTTTTGTTTACGAATCAGCTTTGAAAAACCACCCAACAAATTTGGTTTTTGTTCCGCTGCTACAACACAATAATGTATATCTAACCACAAATGGTTCAGTGCTGTTTTTTTATCTTCAACAGCTAACACGGCTTCAAAATTCACGTCGGGGACGTTGAACATTGGCTTCAAGATATTTGTTTTACACCATCTATTAGTGATGTAGAAGTCGAGAATCTTACAAATGTTCTCGTCCTTGATAACTAGGTAAATGTATCTACATAACAGATCAATGCAGTGGTAATGTTTGCAGCTGCATGATGCAATGGCATGAATGTGTGAGTAGTCGACAGTGAAGGTCATTCCTTTTTTCCTCTTGACTAAATATTAGACGTGTTGGTCGTCAACTTCTTCGACTCAAAGTACACGACAAAAAAAAACATGCTGCAGATATCTCGGATTGAACCTCATGAATAATAGACAATGTGTAAGATGGGGATGCATGCTTCTCAATATCCAATGGAGCTTTAAAATGTGGATAGCATGCCTCATCATCACCATTCAAGTATGCATTTTATCATGTTGAGAGTCCATGACACTTTCAAAAAGCATAAGAAGTTCCACTAGGCTAAAATTTTGCCTTGTAGAATCATCCAAAAAGTTATTCTCGCTCTCAGAACGTGAAATGGTACGTAATAAACCCCCCATGAACAAACCTCTAAAGTGTGCTAGTGTTCAAGTGGTACGTATTTGGAAAATTTTTGAAAACCATTTATGAGTTTCTAACTTATACTCAGCCATGAGATCATGCCACTTACATTCAAAATCCACGGGATCTAGATAATGACTCCTAACAATAGCATGAAATTTTGACAAAAATTCTACATCTTTAGCCAATTCATTGTCCACTTTCTTTACAACCTTTTCCATTATGTGCCACATACAGTAGCGATAAACTATTTGCGGGAATGCCTGCTTTGCAGCACTGTGAAGTGAGGGGTCTTGGTCCGTGATGTTACACTTAAGGGCATTACCCATTGCATTGAAAAAATAACGAAAAATCCAAGAATAAGATTCATCATCCTCTCTACTTATCAATCCAGCCGCAAATGTGATACACTTTCGATGATTGTCTACTCCCGTGAAGGGTGCGAATATCGTAATGTATCTGTTCGAAAAAAGTGAAAAGAAAATACATGAAATTTTTATGAGAAACAAATCAATGAAGACATACAATACTCTTTGAAACGGTTGATAAGCTTCCAACAAGTTTAAATATATAGATGAAGCATGGGCCAGCTTGGAAAAAAGCAAAATACCTGTTAGTCTCATAACTTTGTTAGTTGGTCATTATCATCAAACATGGCATAGTTTTTTCTAGCCACAGGATCATA